ACATATATGTAGTAACCCTTCGTTTAAGTCCCCCAAAACCTCAAAACGCCAAACCAAATGAAAGCCTTAACCCTAAGCCCTAAACCTAAGCCTTATAAGCCCTATACGCCCTAAAACCCTGAACCGCTAAGCCCAAAGCCAAAAACCCTCCTCCGAGTAGGCAGAGACTCCAAAGTCCCGTATAATTAAGGAATATACACTAAAATATGGGAGTTTCCGAAAAGGAGGGGTCCCTTACTTTGGGGCCTTATGATAAGGATCCTACTATTTAGGGTACTAGATTAGGGTCCCCTATTCTGGGAAACTCCCATATGGTAGCCCTAAGGGTCCATGTACTCATATAGTATATACATTGGCCCTAAAGTACGTACATTGGGCCCAAAGTATATGCTATATGAGTACATGGACCCTTAGGTAAGGATCCCCAATATGATTTCAGGAAGATTCCTTAATTAAGGGATATTGGAGCCTCTGGGAACTATTCTCTCCGACTAGTCACGATATGGGAATCCCTGGCTACCCTAAACCTTAACCCCTAGAGATCCCTTCTAAAGGAACCCTTAAGGATCGTAAAGGGAAGCCTCCTCCGACTACCCAGAGGCTCCATAGTAGTTCTTTTTTGGAGTTCACATTTAGCATCCTATGAGGTAATCCCAAAAAGGAACTACTATGGCGCCTATGGGTAGGCACGCTGGATCTCTTCGGCCGGCCTTGCGGCATTGGCGTGCACGCCGGGCGGCCCTGGGCGTATTGGCCGGAAGGGCCTGGAGAGGACTCGGGATTCGGGCTTGAGGGGTTCACAGGGTTTAGGGGTTATATAGAGGTTTGGATTGAGGGGTTCAGGTTCAGGGGTTTGGGGTTTAGGGGTTTAGGGATTTTGGTAGTTTAGGGTTTAGGGGTTGAGGGTTTTGAGGTTTTGGGGTTAAGGTTTTGGGGTTGATTGTTTTGGGGGTTTAGGGTTTAGAGATGCCGGATTTAGGGTGAGGGAGTTCAGGATTTAGGGGTTCAGGATAGGGTTTAGGATTTTGGGGTTTTAGGGTTTAGAGATGCCGGATCTAGGGGTTTAGGATAGGGTTTAGGGTTGCGGGGGTTCAAGGTTTAGGGTATCAGGATAGGATTTAGGTTTGAGGGGTTTAGGGGTTAGGGGTTTTGGAGTTTAGGGGTTGTTTAGGGGTTTAGGGAATAAGTTTAGGCGTTCAGGGTTCAGGGGTTACGGGTTTAGGGGTTCAGGGGTTTAGGGTTTAGGGGTTCAGGGTTTAGGCGTTTAGGGGTTGTTAAGGGGTTTAGGGGTTCAGGGTTTAGGGGGTTTAGGGGGTTTAGGGTATAGGGGTTCAGGCTTCAGGGCAGAGGACTCGGGGTAGCCGGAGGCAGAGGGACTAGGGCTTATAGGGTTTCGGGGCGTTCTCTACGATTCTTGCGATGGAAAAATAGTGCTACAGAAGCATCAATCAAGCTTATAGAAATTGTTAAGGGTTTGGGTGCCCTAGTTTTGACCGAAACATTTCGTGTAAGAACAAGGTTTTAATTTGGGGGCTTGGGCTCGGGAGGGGTGGCTGGACATGTTTTCGAGTTTTGGGGCTGGGCTTGGGACAGGGACGGGGGGAGGGGACTCAGGTTGGGACTGAAACTGGCATGAAACTGTTTTAGGACGGGTCGGGAACTGGGACTGGGTTTGGGGCTGGGCTAGCTGCCCTGGGGCTGCGGCTGGGGTTCGGCTGGGTAGTTGGGAATTGAACGGCGGGCTTGGGGCTGAAGCAGGTTCCATTTTTGGGTGGTTTAGAGAGATCAGGTGAGCGAAGACATGCTGTTTCTATGTATTTCTTTCTTGAGGATGTAGGGTTTAGATTTATATAAGGCTCGAAGCTTTCAGGCCTGCTTCGACTGCGGACGATCAAACTCGGTAGGACGGTGAGGAGGAGTCCGTGGAGGAGGCCGGGGCTGGACGCCTAGAGAGAGAGAGAGAGAGAGACAGAGAGAGAGAGAGAGAGAGAGAGAGAGAGAGACAGAGACAGAAAGAGGACGAGTGAAAGATCAAACTCGGAAGGATGCCGTGATGAATCCAAACCGCGTGTCTCAGGACGTGGGTGTGTGTGTGTGTGTGTGTGTGTGTGCATCTGCGTGTGTGTGTCTGTGTGTGTGTGTGTGCTGTCTGTGTGCAGGTTTCGTCCATGAAGGAGCTGTTTCCCTATGATTCTTGAATTACATTGGTGAACATGTGGTGCTTGTTCGCATTGTGGATGCATGGTGTTGTATGTGTGGTTGCCAAGGAAGATGTTGCCCCGAATCCACCGGTGCGGGACTTGGCTTTGTGTGTCGTGGGACTTGGTTCTGTGTCATGCATTGGCCTGGCTCGGATGTTGTTCGAGGTTCGTCGTGTTGCCACGGACCGGGAGGTCGAGGCTTTGCGCTCTAGGGTGAATCCTGAATTGCAATCGCGAGTGCATCCTGTGTTTCTTGATTTGCCAGGATCATCATGCAGCGCTGGATCTCGTGTTGGCCTTAAACATTCATTGCATGTGTGTATGTTTATGTTTGTGTGCGCGCATGTGTTGGTCGGTAGCTGTCGTTCCACAGGAGGCCGTCGAACTCCGCACTGTCGCAGCCCCGATGTGTTTTGTTTTTGATGGCGTTTCGTGTTTTCTTGCTCGAGGCTTCTGGCTCGCAGTCGTCGCAGCCCAAGGCTCTTGTGCAGCTTTGTGTTTTTGGCTGAAACTGTGTCGGTCGAGGGGGTGGGAGTGTTATAGAGCGATGCCAGGCGCCGAAGCGCCAGCGCACGAAAGGTGGCCCCCTTTTGAGGGGAAGAGGGATTGAGAGAGGGTTCGTGGGAGAGAGAGGGAGAGACAGAGAATGAGAGAGAGAGAGAGAGAGGCAGAGAGAGCCAGGGAGAGAGCGAGGGAGAAAGAGCGGGACAGGCAGAGTGAGAGAGAGGGAGAGAGAGAAGGAGAGAGAAAGATGAGAGTTGAGAGAAGGAGCGGTCGAGATTTGTTTCGCGTGGCCAGGTCCAGGGGCGCCCTGAGCCGCGAGCGGAGAAGGGGGGGGACCTAAGTGTCACGCCCCTTTAGGGGGTTTGGGGTTCTCGATGTTCGTTATAGTTCATGTGTTGTCTGATGCTTTTCTGTTTTAGACGTTTTGTTGCACACCCTAACCCCCCAAACATCTTCGCTCATATGAAGCCGGGACAAGCGGCCGCAATGGCAAGTGGTTCCTGTAACATATGTTCGTATCGTGCTGACATGGTATTCCAGTGCTGGTAGTTATTGTACTTGCCATCGCGGCCACTGGCGGGGCGGCTACTCCCTTTGTGTATTTCCACCATGCATCTAGTTTTAACCTAATCTAAACCTATCTACTTTTCTATCTATGTACTTAACATTCTTATTGCCTGCATATCTACTTCCCATTTTTTCAGTGCAGGGTCAAGCCAGCTTCTTGAAGAGCCGGCTGCCAAAGGAGAGGAAAGACGTCGTGCTTGTATGTGGCTGTGCAGATTGAGCGCAGGTTGCTTGCAAGGGAAGCTTCAGATGTCGAATGTCTGGTATTAGGAGCCTTTTAATTCTGCTTTGGAGTTCGTTTCGTTTCACGGATGGCCAGGGAGTGATCTTGAAATCTCTCGCGTATGATGGCCAGGCGTTCAGGGGCAACTGTTTTCCAAGTGACACTTCATGCAACGGCCAGTCCTTTGGCCTTATCTTTCATGGGTTTCTTGAGCCACGGTGCCTTCTCATGGTGCCATCGGTTCCTTGTGGTTTTGATGCTGTAGTGCAGCAGTACATTCCTAAGTTTGCGGACATAGCGCTGCTTTTGAGCTTGCTGCTCTCCAGTGAAGCTTCAGGCAAGCCTCTGTTTCCGTTGCAACCCACTTTTACTGTTCGGGGCGAGGGACACAAGTGAGTCGTAGCGTAGTTGCGCTCCATGGCGTTGGTTGTCAAGCGGCTGGCGGATGCGGCTCCAGCCTGAGTGGTCGGGTGCAGGGTGTTCGAGCTGTAACCGTGCTTCATATGAGCCAGGAGAGGGAGTTCCCGGAGCTTCGAGATGAGGCACGGCAGGCGATTGCGTACTTGGCGCGGAGAGCGAAAATTGCACTGACAGATCGCGAAGTACAAAACCGGCCGCATGTTGACGGTGAAGCGCCTCGCGGATGCGGCTCCAGCCTGAGTGGTCGGGTGCGGGATGCTCGAGTTGTAACCATGCTTCATGTGAGCGAGGAGAGGGAGCGCCCGGAGTTTCGAGAGGAGGCACGGAACGCGATTGTGAGTTGGAGTTGGCGTGGAAAGCGAAAGATGCACTGACAGATCTCGAACTACAAAGCCCACCGGGATCGCCGCGTGACCTGGAAGAAGGTCACTTACTGACCATGCGACCCGGACTGGGATAAGCGTTTCATCTCTGTCAGGGCGTGAGGACGATTTTCGTCGACCGCGTGGCCAAGCATAAAAGTCTTTGGTACACTGTCGGGAAGTTGAAAGCGATGAAGAAGGCTGGCTCATGGCTAGCCATGCGTGGGGTGGCAAATCGGGTAAGGCAAGGCAGCGGCGATTCAGGTATATTTTTATTTCGTGTAGTGGCACGGTGGATTCCTTAGTTCTCCAATACCCAACCTTTAAACTTTTTGGGTTCTTATAGTTTAGTAGGAAGCAGAAAGTTTAACCTTTTATTTTCGTGGCTTATTGGGGGAGTAAGACTCAGGGTTTAGGGAGATAGGCAGTTGAGGGTTTATGCTTTACAGAACCCCTCTTCCCCGATTCAGTTCTAAAGCACTACCGCTCTCCAGATTTCCGTGAAGCTGCAAGCTTCAGTCGAATCGGAGTGCTACGCAGGGCTCTGCTGGATTGTGCAAGCCACACCGACTCATAAACTAAAGGCCCGAGTTCTCAAACAATAAAACCTGAGAAACGCTGTGCTGAACCCCCCAAACCAAGTCAAACAAAATTACGCCCAATACACCCTATAGGCCCTAAACACAAAACCCTAAACCCCCAAAACTTCAACCTAAGTTTCTTATGAAGGACAGAAAGCGATTGTGCCTCGAGCCTCTCAGCTCAAGTGTTGCAGTGCTTCCAGCGTTTGGGCACTTTGGGCTTCGGGGTTTAGGAGTGGCCTTAATAATTATCTAAGCTATTTTGAGATTGTAGTATAATACAGCCCAGAACCCTAATTATTCTAAATATTACGCCCCCTATATTAGGAACCTTATTCTAAATATTACGGCCCCTATATCAGGCTGATGCAGGACCTCTCGATCCGTTGCCTTGATCAAACACTCGGAGCAAGATCCTTCAAGTCGCACACCTCAAGCGCTTAGTAGCTGAGTAGGTAGCCTTTAACTTTGGGGTGTATATAATCCTAGCATATTGAATAGGTTAACCTGTTTTGGGCTAGGGTTTTCAGCCCCTAAGAGTGCCACCAAGCCGAAAGAACGGCCTTGCCAGCTTGTTGCGAGTGAAGCGGTGCCCCAAGACGTCCGAGTTTGCTGTTGGTTGCCTTGAAGCCGCAACTTAGGTGGGCCCAGGTCAGAAACCTTGTAAGCCCTGTAGCTGGACTCTTATCAGACCGTCGATCCGAATCTTGAGGCATAACCCTAAGGGTCCATGTACTCATATAGTATATACATTTGCTTTAAAGTATTCCCAATGTAGGTACATTGGGCCCAAAGTATATGCTATATGGGTACATGGACCCTTAGGGTAAGCTGCTGGGCAAGTTCCATCAAACCCGATCGCGGGAATCTCCTGACGTGCCGAGCACGATGCAGGCGCTGCCCCACAGAAAAGGACGCGAAGGCAGAGGGATTGGTACACAGGGTTCGGCTTAGCCAACTACTTGGAGGTTCAGTGGTAGTTATAAGTAGGGTTATAAGTCCCCTAATATGGTTATATATATATATATATATATATATATTGTAACCCTACTTATAACCCTACTTATAACTACCCATGAACCTCCAAGTAGGAGCCCACGCTTGGGATTTTCCGGAATTCTGTTCGGGGCTGGTCACTTTTGTTTCTGGCGCCACAGGCCTCAAACTCCCAATCGAGCGCTGAGAGTGCTGTGCGAGGCATTCGCACTCATATGCATAGTTGGTCAAAATTAGGCCCGCTTTTCTGTACCCGAAATAATAGGTGCCGTATTATATAAGGAACCCAAAACATCCCAAAACGGGACCCTAATATTGACAACTACCCATAGAACTACATATGAGGCCCCTAGAGTTCTAAAGGGCCTTAAGCCAGAATCCGACATGAGCCCTTCTGCGAACATGGTCTATAGTTCTGTGGCCCAATCTCCGGTTCCAGAACGCTTCGCCCGCCCACCTGCAATCTCCGGTTTAGCGGTCAGGTCTGGAGCGTTGTTGGGAGCGAAAACCTCTTCAAAGAAAACCCCTAAACTGTGCGTGGCTTCTCTAAATTGCTTTTTGTTATCTACATTCTAAGGAATATGTCGGACTTAAAGGGGTGTAGGATCCGGGGAGATAATCCCAAGCCAACGACTCGGCTGTGCCAGTCCGGCATCGCCGTGGCAGTTCCCCAGCAGGGCAGCGCACGCTTCGACCGAGTCGGCAGGTGCACCGCTCGGGTCCCGAAATTGCAACCACCACAGCAAGTCTAGGCCTTTTTGCCTTTATTTTTGGGGGGGTCTCCTTATCATTTACTACCAAACAGTAGGAAAAAGGGTCATTGCCGTTGATTATAATCAAGGCGCTACTCAGGAACCTAGAAGTCAAACGAGTAGCTATGACAGTACCAGTGGCGTCAGTCATAGCTTCAGTGCCATATAAGCCAACACATATGCTGCGGGCTCCTTGCGGGTTGTAAGAGCGGAAATACGATGGAAGCAGCACTTGGCATGACGATTTTGCACAGTGAGAAGCCAGACCAAAGATAGTGATGTCAAGCCTTGCACAATTAGGACGGAATCCCCAGAGTCGGCACATGCCCAACCTGCATCAGATGGAAAGTTGTGCACAGCCAAGCATAGTACCGTCTGATGGCTTATTCACATCGAGTTCGGGTAAGCCTCTTCACATCCAACTTCATGGATAGCAAACACTATAACCCTAGACCACAAGCCCTCAAACCCTAATGCCAGTGAAGTCAAAGGTCCAACACACTTTTCAACAAGAAAAGAAACCCCTAAACCCTAAACACTGAGTCCATGAAACCTTCCCGAAGCAAACGTCCCGCAGTTCCAATGCCACGGTTGCGGCATCGTGGCACCTGGCTGCTCGGCTTGCTTCAGCGTCGTCGGCGTTCGCGTTGCTATGTGGGGAGTTCTCTAAATTAGGGTGACTTCTGGGGTCCTTAGAAGGGTGCCAGAATATATTAGGCACTTTTGAGCACTACCCACATAATGGCGGTTCTTAACGAACTAATTTTTGAAGAGGGGAATCTGTTTGCGGGATCTAGGGATCCGGCTTGAGACGCAGAGTTTGTGGTGGCGCCGAGTAACTACGGTTTAGGGAGGCGCTGCTAGCACTTCCATGATACTGAATCTGGCGGCCAT